CTTGACGGACTAGATGCGTTCCAAATGAACAATGGGTCCTTACGGACTAGTTGAGTTCCAAAGGAACAATGGGTCCTTACGAACTATTTACGTTCGAAAGGAATAATGGATCTTTACAGACTAGATGTGTTCCAAAGGAACAATGGGTCCTTACGGATTAGTTGCATTCCAAAGGAATAATTGGTCCTGACGGACTAGATGCGTTCCAAAGGAACAATGGGTCCTTACGGACTAGTTGCATTCCTGACAATGGCATTCCCTTCATCAACCGCAATGTTAGGTGCATCCTTAAGCAATACAATGTCTAGCACCGGCGTTCCTTAGCTTACTACCCAAAGGCAACGGACAGGCTGAAGTGTCCAACAAAAACATAATCCGTATTCTGAGCCGAATGTTGGAAGAATGTCCTACCACGAAGGTCAAATAGTTACCGTACGTCTAGCAAACGGTCCACAGGTCAAACTCATTTCTCCCTCATCTATAGAACCGAAGCCGTCCTTCCAATCGACATCGCAGTCCCTGCAGCCAACATCGCCTCGCGTAATGGAATCCATATGACATGTGATAGCGAGTTAGAGGCCCTCGAGGAACGGTGCGAATCTGCTCTTCAGCACCTTCTTCACCCTATAGCGCATGCTTACAACAAACATGTTCAACCTCGCCACTTTGAGTCTGGCAAGCTAGTCCTCAAGGCAGCCACACATATCATGCGCGACCTTTCAGCCCCAAAATTCACACCTAATTGGGAAGGCCCTTACATTGTCAAGACAGCCAGCGCCAGTGGCTATTGCACCCTCGAGGGATCTGATCCTAGCCCAATTAACAATGTCTGGCTCAAACATTACTTTTGTTAAGTGTTTGTTCCCTTTGAAAATTTCATCTTTTGGACGAATAAAGAAGGGACCCTTTTTTGTCAAAACATACATACAGCTATTAAATGCAAACATCAATATGCTGAAAATTACACTTTTTTATTCATGTCTAAATATTCTGTTACAATTATAAGCTCTTACATCTCAAAAAAGAAAAATAAACAATAATAAAAGGTAACAACCCTACCCTACATAGGAGGATAATAGTGAGTAATTGTCCTTATGCTCATGCAAATGTGCTACCATCACTTCCAGGCCCTTCTCCTCTTGCGCCAACTTTCTTCGCAACTGTGCCACCCATTCTTGCGCTGCGTGAATGCGTGGCGCCAACAGCCTTTACCGCAAACACTTCTCAGCCACTACCAATCTTCTCTTCACCCACAAGACAGGAATCTTGAGCTTCAGTACATCCTCCAATAACAGTGCTGCCTCCCCCAAGAGCTGCTCGTTGGTTGACCCTTGCTCGATCTCCACAAACAGCTCCAAAATCCTGCAAAGGCAAAGATATCATGTTCGCTGAATCAACACGTGGCGCGCAGACAAGAATTAGGGCACTTCTGGATGATAAGCTAAGGCTGCCTCCAGCATACCCACGTATGTGTGCAGATATGCCCATCCATTCAACCTCTGGTCCAGCCACACCTCGCTCCGCCTCATCCTCCTCGCGAGCCTCAGCGCTTGCTGCCTCAGTCACCCCTGCCATGGGGGCATCTCGTTCCGCTTCGTTAATTTCTTGCAAGTGAGGGTTCAAGGGGTCTTGCACCCCAACCATGGGCGAGGTCTTCCCTTTTTCTCCCTCTTCACCATCCCCTAGCACTTCTTGAAAGGACATTTCCACAAGTCTTTCTTTTTCCAGCGCCACAACAACATGCTTAGACAAAGGCTCAGAGGTCTCGTTGGCAGTTCTGTTGATTCATCATTGCCCACTAGCTAGCCTCACCACGAGAATGATCCCTTTCTTCGATTACGTTTTCTGACCCCTCGCTAGTACTGTTTTCCTCACCAGACAGTTCTGTGATCACAACATTGGAGCGTCGCTGTGCCATTTCAAACATTGCCACTGCTGGCGCATATATCACCATTGGCAACTCAGCTATAACCTGCTCAGTGCTCGCAGCACTCTGATGCTCACTTTCCACTGATCCTTGGGCTGTATCATGCACAGGCGAGTCTCGCATAGCAATGATAAGCGATGCATCTAGAGGATTCAATGGCGCTTCCTCCCTCTCCTCTGCTGGCCACGCTGGGGCATTTTCTTGAGTACAAGGATTCACAATGTTATCCCCTAAGGCTTTCATAAAGTCAAAAGGGGGCAAATTAGGGAAATCATTGTCAGAAGAGGGTACCCATCCGAGCTCACATCTAGCACTGTGGCATGAAGTCTAGTATCTCGCACGCGATGAAACATGCGCCCTACGGCCACTCTGGGCCAAAAACAGAGGCCATCGACCCATGTTCCCCAGTGAGGGGTTGCACCTCTGGATCATCAGCCGAGGTGTCAGTATCCATGTTGTCAATCTCATATTCGTCTGCAAGTATCGACTTACGAGGTTGCACCCTTGGGCGTGGCATGTCTGGAGCTTGGGGCCTCGCACTTGCCCCACTTGCACTAACTGTTGTTGGAATTGTAAAGGCCACAATTGCCCGTTTCGCTTGAGTCCCAGCCCTTGAGCGAGACTGTGCCTTTGTCTTGCTCCTAGAAGAGGTTACCACCGGAGCCACTTCAGGCACTGGCATAGCGCTTTTCTGTGATGTCTCTTGCACACTTATGCTAGCCACAGGTACAAACCTACAATACTCGCCCCTATCAAAGTCAATGGGAGGCCTTAACGAGTAATCCCCAGAGTATATCACAAGAGCTTTCGCCCGCTCTGCAGGACTTGTACAAAAGTCTTTCCAGCTAGCAAGCTGAATAGCCAAGAATGTATGCGTTGCCTTTGTTAATATGGGAGCTCGGCGCCCCCCTGGCAAAAACAAAGCACCCAACCATTCTGTCAGCAGTCTGGTGTGCGTTGCCATGAACCTCATAAAACTCCCGTCATAGGACTCCTCGCCACCTGCAAAAACATATTGCGAAGGCACCCCGCGATCATACCCAAATTGAAGGGTCACCCTGCGAGGGTTGTAAGTCTTCACCATCTCCCAGCCTCCGAAGACGCTGGCAAGTAGCCAGGCATCATGCAGAGCAGTAAAATTAATACATTGCTCACATGAAGTCGAAAGGCACTAGCAGGGATATTTTCATCTTCATCAAAGTACATTGCCATAGTTAGTGCGCCGGGTAAAGCTGCAGCGTAGGGTCGCGCAATGAATTGAAAACTTTGGTCAATTGTATAGTTGAGGTGGCCTTAAGGAGCGCGCCCCTGCCATCTCATTCCTCGAACAACCAGCTCGTCGATGGCCAAATCTGCAGGGGCTAGAGCATAAGCCTTAATTCTCTCATACAAAAACATCTGCATGAACAAGGTCGAGACATACGAGTTTGCCACATAACGCCCCACAGAGCGCAGAGTCCTCTGCCACCAGATCTAATCAATGGTACAATGTCCGTAAAAACAAGGGCGGGAGAGCCACTTTCACTCCACTCGCTAATTTCACAGCGAGATCCAGATGACGCGACAATGGAGCATCTTCTGGGGTGCCTTCCAATATATACCTTGATAGCCAACACAACACAACAGGTAGGCAGTGAGGTTTGAGGGATGGTCCACCCAAGGACCAACAATGCCATCCCTGCCTTCGTTGGCCAAATCCTTCTTCGACATTGAATAGTCCTTGAAGTTGTATCTCACCCACAATCCAATTGTACACTTCCTTGCCCCTTTCCCTCGATTTGTATTTTTTACCCCCTTCTTGCCTCATAAGGTGCCAAAGTTCTTGGTTTTGTCCAAGGCCTTAGTCAAATCCCCCATTAGCACCTTCTCTGTCTCGCTCAAAGACCACGACCCAGTGTTCTCTGTACCTTGGCGTCACATCCTTAATCGTGGGAGTGAACTCCCCCCACGCTGTCACGAAGGTATACGAGCTAGAACTCCACCGCGATGCTAGCTCCCACACACCAGCCATATCGCAAGGAATACTCAATTGCCGAAATAACATAATCGATGCGAGTAGCCCCGTCGCTGTCAAGATGCATTTGTACTCCTCATTTGCAAGTATGGCATCTATCCATTCTTCCCAACCATACACAGGGCTGGTATGATTTACTAGATCCACATAAGACCATGGGTACTTACCCTGTTCCAACACAAAACCTGAGAATTGTGTCTGCTGGTATACGCGAGGCAGAGGCTACCTCCACCTCCTCCATTAACTCAGGGAACTCCAGTGGTTTCACCTGTGGCCCCACCCCTCTCTACCCAACACCAGAATCTATCATATTTCCCAAAGAATGGCGCCCTTCACCATTCTAAGTCCAGAGGCACCCGTGGTGGTGGTTAGTCTTTTTTGCTTAACTCCTTCCTTACCATCGTGTTCTCAAAAGCACACTCTCTTTACCTTTGCCGGCAACAATGGCAGCCCACAAACCTCTCACCGTACTTCCTTTTTGTCTCTCCCCCTTTCTCTTTATAATTTGTTTTGATCTTTTTCAAATACACACAAGAGTGAACATCAAATAACCTTTTGGATTTTTGGCAAACACACCCTTTTAAACCACCATGCTTCGAGAACCTTTCCATGTGAAACGACACTAAAATGGAGCATTAATGCTTAAATTTATATTTACTTATATTTTGTTTCCAAGCTTAAACTTATAATATATTGGATGCTGTTTTTTATTTTCTATTTATTATTATTATTATTATCTCTTTCCCTTTTTCCAATTCTATTTTTCTGAAACATAAATAATTTATCATTCAACTGAATTTTTTCAACTGAAAAAATTTAATTCCACTTGCCTCGTTGAATTTTTTTTCAAGATGGTAATTTTATTGCTTGTGGCAACAAAATTTGGTGTTATGTCGATTGAATTATAAATAAAAAATAAAATTGACTTGAAAAAAGAAAGAGAACAAAATTATAAAAAAAAAAAACGGAAAAAAAAAAAAAAGTATATTCCGCCACATTATAAGGTGCCAACGACCAGTCTTATCCTGAACTATTGACGGGCTCCGCGTTTGCCACCAAAGTCTGTCAGCTCCAACTGGACGTGAAGAAATGGCGTAACTAACACCTCTGTCTTTCTCTCTCTCACGCACACACTCTTTCTCTCACACAAAAACCCTAAAACCAAAACCTCCAATTCGAAGCTTTTAATGGCTTATCATCAGTTAATCACTATCTTTCTCCTTTCTTATATGCTCTTCATCGTCAACTATTCACTAATGGTCTCATCGACATCGTCGATCTCACCTTCGTCCCTTGGGGCAACGCCAAGATCAAAGGCAACAACACCGTCATTTGCTAGGTTCGCCTGTTTCTCCTCCACTTTGTCTGCCTTCATATGTACATATATGTGTGTGTGTTTGTATTTATATAATTTGCGACAATGTGGTGACTAAAATTGCTTGTTTTTGTAATGAGATGAATGCAGCATGGGCCATTTGAATGCTTGCTAAACACTGCGGAGGCATGTGCAATCATTGTCTGGCCTGATCTGGTAAGATTAAGACCTGGGCATGAAAATTATTTTGTGTCATAAACTTATTGTTGGTAGAGGGGATTAGTATATTTCAGATTTTTACATTATTCACATTAATTTCAGATTCTTACGGGAAACTGTTTCTTTTGTGTGTGAAGATTTTGCTTTTTATAGAGGATTGTGTTATAATTTTGGTTGAAGTTTATAAAACCTCTAGCATGTGTTGAGTTCTTTGCATACTGTTCTTAGTTTTGCATAAACTCTATTGATTTTGTAAATTGTTTGAGAAAATGCATAAAGTTTATTGATTCTGGAAATGGAATTCTTAGTTTTGCATAATTTATAATAGTTTTTTAGTTTCTCTAGTCCAACTATTTTTGTCCCTTTTATGATGGGAAGTATTACGGAATATTCAAGTCCTTTGATTTTGTACTATTTCCATTTTCCTTTTACTCTCAGCTGAGGAAATTAAGTGGCTAATATCAGAAGTTTTTTGTTTTTATTATTTTATATATGATGTATGCAACATTCAAATCACTGTTAAATTTTCAGTGGATTGGGTTGTTGATTCAATTATCTTGTTTATGCAACTTAAAGATTGCCAAATCTTTTGAAAAGAGCTTCTTGTAGTAATTTGATGGCTTCTCAACAAGTCTGGATGATTTTCTTAATGATGAAGACAGTTCTGTACATTCCTTCCTTGTATTTTAGATTCTTTGTAATGTTTATATAATGTTGAAAACGACCATAAGCAGCATATCGTTACCATCCAGTTAAAAAAAGGAAGCTTGCTTTGTCTCGTGGATTAATCGGGGATTTCCCGGACACCCCAAGGAAGCTTGCTTGAGCGATTCAAAGTAAGCTATGGTTGTGGAACCAGGAATGCAGAAATTAACCCAACTCTAATTAAATTTAGGTTGGGATGGGATCAACGTATCAGGTAACCTGAAACCTACGTACTGTGGACTTAGATAATTATCAATTAAGAAGAAGATAAGAGTTCATCAAATTCGATGTGTTTGGCTTATTGATAAAAATTATTGCTTTTAAATAGTTTTCAATATTCTGTTATTTTTTAGACAAAACAGTGTGTGGACTGTTGTTACCCAGGAATCCTCTCAACATGACCTGAATTCAAGTGTAGGTTGAAATATCGTTGGGAGATAGGAGATATAGTTGAATCCCAAGGAGTTGAACACGGGCACACTGCTAGGCCACTGGATAATGCCCTAGTTGAATTTTGTGGATTTGTGTCTTAGTTGAATATCAACCACTTACCAAACTGGAGAAGGATGAAGGAATATTCTTACCCTTTATTGGATGAATGTGTAACATGTATTTAGATGAACAGTTTCTGGGCATCATCTTAATCAGTATAGATTTGAGTGAAAAGGATGATAAGACTACCAAAGTCTAATCAATACTTATTTTTATTATTGAACAATGCTATTTTAAGTGATTTTGGTTCTTATTGGAACCGAAAGTTACTTGACCAAAAAAGAAAAAATGACATAAAGTGGATCCACCATTAGTTAATTTTTGATCTGTTAAACCATAAATTAGTGAATCGTCCGTAATGCGGGATGATTTTTTGTCTAGCCCATTCTAGACTGAAAAGAACTAGTGCATTTATTTATTAATTATTGTAATTTATATGTAGTATTCACCAAAACAATCAAACACAACAATCAATTAGAAAGAAGAGAGATATAGAATCGAGAGAGGGGGAATATTACATATAATAAGTGTGCAATTGTTGTTGTATCATGACTTGGATTCGGCTTGCACCACATAACCCCATTTGCTGGCATTCATAATGCATTATGGTGGAAGAAGTTTGGAGTGATAACAATAATGTTGGTGGTGGTGGGTTCCTCATTAATATAATATTTATAACATTAATGAATTTTTGTCTAATGCTGAAAATCCAACAACCATTAAGCAAGTGTTCAGTGTGGGACAAAATACGAGAAGAAGTAAATATTCAATGATGATTGACACAAATTACTTAAAAATTTGGGAGAATTATATATAAATGGAGTCAAAGTTTCATATTTACTTAGAGATTGAGTCAAAGTTTTATATTTCTCTAAAATGGATTGTTGAGGTGACACATGGTTTTTTACTGTTTAAAAAATTGTGGTGCCTAAAATGCCCTTTCCTAATAAAAAAGTAGTACCTTCAGTTCAAAAAAGTAATACTTTCAGTTCAAAAAAGTAATACCTTTGGAGAAAAAGTAGTACCTTCGCGGGTGTTTAAAAAACATGGTACCTGGACGCCAAAAAGTAGTACCTTCAGTTCAAAAAAGTAGTACCTTCGAAGAAAAAGTAATACCTTCGCGAAAGGGTATTTTAGGCACCACAATTTCTAAACAGTAAAAAACCATGTGCCACCTAAGTAATCCATTTTAGAGAAATATGTAATTTTGACTCAGCCTCTAAGTAAATATGGAACTTTGACTCCATTTATATGTAATTTTTCCTAAAAAATTTTCATAAAAAAGGAGAAATATGCCAAACTTCACGTACTTTTAACAATGTAATTGCTCACATACGTACTTATAACTATAAAAAAGGGAGAGGAAACACTACAGAGACTGGAGAGTCGTGGTGGAGACTAGAGTGAGAAACTGAGGGGGTAGAGAGAGTTAGAGAGAGAGAGAGAGGAGGAAATGTCGGCTAAAGAAGGGGAGGTGGTTTGCGTAACGGGAGGCAGTGGGTATATCGGTTCGTGGCTGGTCTGTCTCCTCCTCGAACGCGGCTACACCGTTCACGCCACCGTGAAAGATCTCAGTTACACTCTCTTTACCCTTTCCCATTTCCAGATATCAATTCAATTGTTTTTCCTGATTCCATTTTTCTCTCTCTTTTTTTTTTCCCCCTTCTCTTAGAGGATGAAAAAGAAAATAAGCATCTCGAAGCCCTAGAAGGTGCGCAATCGCGTCTCCATCTCTTCCAGATCGATCTCCTCCACTACGACTCCATTGTCGCCGCCGTCACTGGCGCCAACGGCGTCTTCCACCTCGCATCTCCCTGTATTGTCGATCGAGTTCATGATCCTGAGGTTCGTGCCCAATTCAATGTACACGCACAAAAACACACACGTCTGTTTATACATATATATGTATATGTATATGCATATTCAATTTTTGCTATCACTGTCAGAAGGAGCTATTGGACCCGGCGATTAAGGGGACCAACAATGTACTCACGGCAGCAAAGGAGCTGGGGGTCCGGCGAGTGGTGGTGACCTCATCCACATCGGCGATCAGTCCGAGCTGGTACTGGCCAGCTGATGTAGTCAAGGATGAAAATTGCTGGACAGATATTGATTACTGCAAGACAAAAGGAGTGAGTCTCTTGCGTTTTCTTGCATGTTCATCTTTATTTATTTTTTCTTCTCCGAAATTTGTTTGTGTGTATTTGCTTATTTGGTATTAACCCATAACCATAACCATAACCAATTGTATTTGCTTATTCATAACCCATAACTAATTGTATTATGAGAAGCAATTAAATGATCGTATTTGACCACAAGTTATTGTACTTAACACTAACATATCTATTTGGTTTGCCATCAAAATGATTCACAGTGCTCCTCATCACAATCACCAAATTCAGAGAAGCAAGAATTTTTTATAGTCACTGATAAAATTTTGTAATAGATTACCATAACATTTGTAAGGTATGTATCATGTATGGAGAAATTATTACAAGGTGTGGTCTGGGACTGCATGGTCCCGGCCAATCACAACTTGACACATAAGCAAAAATCACATTTGCTTGTGTGTCAAGTTGTGATTAGCTGGGATCACGTAGTCTCGGAACATGTAAAAAAAATTCATCATGTATGCCCAAAATACCTTTTGGGAAATGGCTTTGTTGAGTTGAGTTGATGCTCAACTTATATTCTTTGTGTAAGGAAGCGAAATGTACTGAGAAAGTAAAAACAAAAGATCTTGCTCTTTCTGCAGCTGTTTGGTTTGTTGTAAAAGTTCACCAGAAAACAAAGACTCAAGTTTTTGCATCATGATTTGTCATGTTACGGAAGCATAAATAGCTTATCAAAATAATGTTATAGAAGTATGAATGGCTTTGAGGAAAATAATGTATCATAACAAAATAGTTGTCAGTGGGGTTTACTTTTAGAACTAATCACACATTATTCAGATTTATTTTTATTTTTTGGTGGCATTACTTATGTACAGAAAATAAATGCATATAATTTTACATGCATATACTTGCTCTAAGGAATTCTCTGAGTCTAATGTTTTTTCATTTGTTTCCGATGTGTTATCTGTTGCTCCATGTTGTACTTGAAGAAGATTGAAGTACTTTAGGTGTGTTTTTGATGTTTTCTTTCTTCAAAAGCACATAATCATCTCTTTAGATAAATGATATCACTTTAAAATTGGCTTCGGTAAATTTCTCAGTTATTGTTCATGCTTATAGGTTAATATGGTATACTGGTATCCAAATATGTTCTTAAATTCCATTTTATAACGTTTATTTATTTATTTTTGCTTTCTGTGGGCTAGCTGTGGTATCCACTTTCTAAAACACTAGCTGAGAAAGCGGCTTGGGAATTTGCCAAGGAAAAAGGTTTGGATGTGGTTGTGGTGAATCCTGGAACCGTTATGGGACCTATCCTGCCCCCAGCCCTTAATGCAAGCATGTTAATGATTCTTCGCCTTCTTCAGGGTATTGCACAAATTTGAATAAGCTGTTGTAGTTTATATTGAAGCATGCTGCATTTTAAAATGTCAGAGTTTAAGACGTGCGTAAATATATCTTTGTAGTATTCTTTTGCTTGACTCCATTCTAAACTCACCTGGAAGAAAACATCTAACCAGAACTCTTGCATTACAACAGATTATTATCTGTTCAATTGATGTTTGTGAATTTTCAACTTTAGACCAATATATGTTTCTTCATGTTGAACTGGACATCTTAAAGGAGTATTTGGCATTTAAAGTAACAGGGCTGTTGCAAAGTGCACCCCTCCCCACTCCCCCAGGAAATTGCTATCATATTTTATTTTCCCTCACAAGGGAAATAAAGTGAAATTCTTGTTTATTTCAAGCTAATTTATTAATTCTGTCATTGTTCACTTTGTAATTGAGCTTCAACCAGACATTAAACTGACCCTGTATACTATTCTGGATGCATTTGAGTGGTGGTAAATTGAGTATTTCCATTCCATTGAACTCTTTCCAGGCTGTGCTTAAGGTTTTACACACTATTAGTCCTAAGCCTGGAAATTCGAAAAGAATTACTCAAGTTGACAGCTTGCATGATAACATGTGACCATGTCACTTCCATAAATTGTCGTGTTCCTTATTTTTCATAATTAGTGACATAAGATTGCATTTGGAGGATTTATTTTTCTTTCTCCTGGCTCAAACTTGTTAATGAACTGTGTACTTGCCTTAGAATAGATTTGCCTCTCTGTCTTGCCAGTTTCCTCTCAACCGATCATCTAGTCTGGTATGTATTAAACATAGTAGTCCTGAAGCTTGTCCAGTGCTTCACATTCATTTTTAGATGCTGACAGTTTTCAATCTCCCCCAAAAACTTTACTCAGACATTTTGGAACTCCAAACTTATAATTTTTAGAATTAACCCAAGAATTCAAATCGCATTTTGGCCAGGCTGCACAGAGATCTATAAGGATTTTTTTATGGGGTCTGTCCATGTTAAAGATGTGGCCCTAGCACACATATTAGTGTATGAAAACACGTCAGCAACTGGAAGGCACTTGTGTGTGGAAGCTATATCTCATTATGGCGACTTTGCTGCAAAGGTTGCAGAACTTTACCCTGAATATAAAGTGCCCAGGTAATGTGTTTTAACTCTCCATGCTTGCTTTTTAAAAAAAATTTATTGTGTTTGTGATTGTTTATTTATTCATTTTTATAGTTAGAATTATTTACATGTCTTGCGGCTGTGGAACTGATGATAATTATATGCTGGCATCTAAAACTTATAACTCTGCCATATGGTTTAATAGAAGGATATTCTTTAAAAGGGTGCATAATGATTAATTTCTAGTAGTTTTTATGGCATTTTGAAAAAGTAAAAGGAAGCAACGTTCACAGTCCATAAAATTTTTTCCGCCCTTCACTATCTTATACGGTAATAGTAAGGTACAATGGGGAGTGGAGCTCAGGATGATTTATTTGGGGTGTGAGTATTGTGTCCAAGAAAAAGAAAAAAAAAAATCCGAAAAGAAATGCTAGTTATGGATTAGGCATATGTGTCTAAAGAGCATTGCCCCATATCATTAGGATGTAAGAAAAATAATCAAGTCAATAAATGGATCACATATTGTAATATCATGCCAAAAGATCATATAGTCCAAAAGATCACATACCTCCGGCCATGAAATAAGTTCTGCAAAACAAAATGAGAAAACCTCGAAACATTCACGTGTATGCAAGTCCTTACGCATATACTGATGGAGACAACATAGACATTTCTTTTCTTCACTGCTACGCATGGGAGTACAATCCATCATGCATCCCCCATTTATTCAGATTAGATTATCAGTTATGAAACTACTCTATTAACATCCCAAAACCACCATTCTATATCTTTCCAATATAACTCAGGGGCATGTCAGAATGTGTGTCAAAATGCCAACTTAAAAATAACTTTAAAAGGATGTGTTAGAATATGTGTGGCAATATAGGCCACATCACATTTGACAAACAAACGTGTACAGTAACGAGTTCTGGTGGTTCCTACTTTCATTTCTTCTTATTAGACAAATATTTGGAGGTAGAGACTCTTAGGAGAAGACTGGTAAAAGTCATCTTAATGTTTCTCTTGGTAAAAGCTTAAAGCTGAGGATTTTAATCATTTCAATCGCTGCTTTATGCTGCAAGTGTTGGTATATTACAATTCTATCTGGGCCTGCATACATTCTCAAAATTCCATTCACTACTGTGCTTGATGGGTAGCTTAACTTCAATAGGGTATTGTCGGATTTAAATATTCCTCAATCTTACTCAGTGCTTTTCTATAGGTTGCCAAAGGATACCCATCCTGGACTGCTGAGGACCAAGGATGGATCTAAGAAGCTAATGGACTTAGGTCTACAATTCATCCCCATGGAGCAAATAGTCAAGGACTCTGTCGAGAGTTTAAAGAGCAAAGGGTTTATTTCTTGAATGAAACCTTCAAGCCTCTGCACACCTGGAACTGGTAAAGGCCAAGAACTTTGTGGGATAAAAGTATAACAATAAAGATATTGGGTACATATTGATCAATGAGATATCCTTGTAATTTTGGGCTGGGGTTGCAACTGAACTAACCTGAGTTCGAAATTGTGTGTATTTTGTTATGTTTTATTTAGTTTATTATTGGTTTTGTGTTAATTTTTCTTTTCAAGTTGAGGTTCTGCTGAGCTGCTTTTAGAGATATTCTAATGGAAAAGTTATAATCTAGTTGACTCTCTCCCACTTTATTACATATTCTCGGGTTGGTTTGGGGTTAATATGCCTTTGGCCAGCAACTGATGGATTTTTATTATTATTATTATTATTATTATTATTATTATTTTTATCCTGGCAGGCATACGAACACTTACAAACATAGCCATAAACACTGTACAAACCAAACAAATCAAGAAGCAACAAAAGAAAAAACTGAAAGAGTAATGCTTGGATCTTGCCAGGACAAAAACAATGTCCTCCAAGCTGATAAGGGCTTGCCACCTATTCTTAACAGTAAAAAATATAAAATATGGGTTATATCTATTTAACTGCTAGACCCGTTTTGTTTCTCTCTCCTCCCATGTGTTCCTTTCTCTCTCCTTGTTTCTCTCTCCTCCCATGGGCAAATGTTTCCATCTTTATTCACGCGTCTTGCATTGGATCTGGTAGTGGTGAAATTGGATCAATTGCCCATTAGTGACGGCAACTGCAGGCTCTTCAGGTGAGGTTGAGACAGAATTTTCCATGTCTACCTTCCTGATGCCTGAACATCGAATAGTCAAAATCTCAAACAATTATTAAAGTTCAGGTGAAGTGAGACTATTTATCTACTACTTTTCTTCTGCAAATGGAATTTCTCATAAATGATGCTTAACAAAAAATAAAAAATCAACACAAAAAATTACACATTAACTGTTTTTGGATCCCCAACACCACCAACGCAGCAGTCGCCGCAGCCTACATCTGCGACCAATTCATCACCGTCTCTGACGACAAAAGTTTCATCTTCGCCGGTTCAATCTCCGGCAACTCCAGATCTGGACCCTTCTTATCAGGATGGTTGTGGGTAAGTTCACTCACTCCGAGTCTGAGTTGACTCGGCTACGGACTCACCTCACTTTCAGTTCCAGCTCTGACGAATTGGTGGCCACCACCACTACAGGTCAGTCCGGCGACGCTGTAAGGGACATGGATCTCCTCGAATCATCCATGACATGATAACAGATATCGAATATGTTCCCACCACCCACATGGTGGGCTGAACTCGGCCGGTGGAATGGACTCGGCTGACTTGCTGCAAGGTGGGCTAAACTCGGCCGGTGGAATGGAGGATTCGGAACGGTGACCGGCAAAGATGAATGGGATGGTTCGGCGAGGATGAAAGGACCGAAAGAGAGAAGGAGAGAGAAAATGGGTTTCTTGATGGATTCTACCCGTAACTCAAATTTAATTCATTTTTATTTTTGTACAGGTGTCAAGTTTTCATAGCGCCACGTCATGGTGGAGGGCAAAACTTGTCATGATGGGACAGGACCCGAGCATTGCTCAAACTAAAACACAGGCCTCCAGTTTGTTGAGTAACAAGACAAAATATATCAGCGGACCACTAAGATAGAAGAACAGCAACGAGTCACCCAAAAAAAAACCACTCAAACCCCGCACAAAAAGACAAGGACACCAAAACTCGACATAGATCAGGGATCCGGAGACAAAACAACAAATCTACCCTGTCGAGCAGAAGAAAGCCAAACAGGAGCAGATCTAACAAAACAGCATGAAACCCACCTACCGAGCAGAAGAGAGAAAGCGAATGGGAGGCAACTGAGGGTTAGAGAGAGGCGAGAGAAAGCGTTGGATAGAACATGGTTGAAAGGTAATCATTAACCTGTCTTGTGGAAAAATTATTCATTGTAACTAGACCGATGATTACAATTATTTCACCAAAACAACTTATTTAAGATTAAGATGGCTTAGACATTAACTTGGTCCGGAGTGAATTAAATGGCCAAATGAAAATTCAAGTATCGTGGTGTGCATGTTTCTTCTTGCCAAGGAAATAAAAAAAAAACCCAAATATTGTCATCCAAATGAGGTGTCAAAAGCTCGAGCTTAAACTTATATTTATTTATATTAAAAAAAGGCACGTGTAATGCACGTGATGAATGCTTTGTAACTTATAGAATTTTTGTTTATATATATATATATTTCTAATTGTTGATTTGAAGTTTGTAACAATAAACGTTGCAATTTTTTGTAACTCTTTTTATATTAATTAATAAATATTTTTTTATATTAATAAATAAATACTGAAATATTTTGAAATTGGTGGTAGAGTTTAAGTTTTGTAAATTTATAAATTCTTTTAGATTATTATATTTATACTGAAATATTTATATTTTATTTTTTATTAATTAATAATTTTTTATTTTAATACTGAAATATTTGAGTTTTGCAAAGTAATAAATTCTTTTAAATAATTTAAATTTTATTAAGTAATTTGTAATTTGAATTTTATTAGGTAACATTTTAAAAATTATATATATATATATATATAATAGTATAGATTTTAATTTTATTAGATAATTTGTAATTTGAATTTTATTAGATAATTTGAAATTTAGTATAATTTTTAATTTACAATAGAAATTCAATTATATTAATTTTTAATTAAATTTTAAAATAGAAATTCAATTATACTAATCATACATTAAATTGAATTTGATATAAAAATTTATTATATAGAGCTTGTGGTTTTTGGAAGACCCTATGTTATATTTTATTTTCTTTAAATATATCATTGTCTAATGTGATAGAGTTTTATATAAAATAAAATAGGTAATTTGCGGTAGAGTTTTATAGAAATTATTTTATTTTATTTAAATATATCTTTGTAAAATTAGATTTTCTTTTATTAAAAAACTCATAATAAATAGATAAATATGAGGGTTATCTACTTATATTTGATAGAGTTCTCTTTTTATATTAATTAATAAATATTTTTTATATTAAAAAATAAATACTGAAATGTTCAAATTCTTTAACTTTTATATTTTATTTATATGTATTATTATATTATTATATATTTTCTTTAAATATATCCTTGTCTAATGTGATAGAATTATAAAAATTGTTTTATTTTCTTTAAATATATCCTTGTTTAATTAGATTTCCTTTTATTAGAAAACTCATAATAAATAGATAAATATAGGTTATATATGATAGAGTTTTAAAGAAAATAAAATAGTTAATTTGTGGTAAAGTTTTTGTAATTTATGTTAGAGCTTGTAAAAACTCTTTAAATATATCCTTATTTAATGTGAAAAAAGTTTTATTCCAAATAAAATAGATAATTTGTGGTAAAATTTTATATAAATTATTTAATTTCTTTAAATATATATATCCTTGTCTAATTAGATATTCTTTTATTAAAAAAAAAAACACTCAAAATAAAAGGTAATTTGTGGTAGAGTTTTAGAAAAATTATTTTATTTTTTATATAAATTATTAAATATTTTTTACATTAATAATTCTTGTTTAGTTATATTTTCTTTTATTAAAAAATTCATAATAAATACATAAACAGTTAATTTGTATTAGAGTTTTACATAAACTCTTTTTAAAAAATATTTTATTTTCTTTAAATATATCGTTGTCTAATTAGATTTCCTTCATCAAAAAACTTATAATAAATAGATAAATACACAGGTTATATGTGATAGAGTTTTAAAGAAAATAAAATAGATAATTTGTGGAAGAGTTTTATAGAAATTATTTTATTTTCTGTAAATTTATTTATAATAAATAAATAAATAGGTAATTTGTGTTAAAGTTTAATAGACACTCTTTTAAAAACTCTTTTTATATTAATTAATAAATATTTTTTATATTAATAATTATTTTCTAATTAGATTTCTTTTTATTAAAAAACCCATAATAAATAGATAAATAGATAATTTGTGTTAGAGTTTTATAGAAACTCCTTTAAAACTTTTTTTTATATCGATTAATAAAAAAAAATTTATCTTAATAATACTTATCTAATTAGATTTCCTTTTATTAAAAAACTCATAATAAATAGATAGATAAGTAATTTGTGTTAGAGTTTTATAAAAACTCTTTAAATATATCTTTGTCTAATGTGATCGAGTTTTACTGAAAATAAAATATGTAATTTGTGATAGAGTTTTATACAAATTATTTTATTTTCTTTAAATATTTTCTTGTCTGATTAGATTTAATTTTATTAAGAAAAATAAACATGAAATATGTAATTTGTGATAGAGTTTAATAGAAATTATTTTATTTTCTTTAAATATATCCTTGTCTAATTGGATTTAATTTTATTAAGAAACTCATAATAAAACCTAATTTGTGGTAGAGTTTTAGAAAAATTATTTTATTTTATATATCAATTAGTAAATATGTTTATATTAATAATTATTGTCTAATTAGATTTTCTTTTATTTAAAAATACATAATAATAAACAGATAAATAGGTTAATTTGAATTTTATTAGGCAGATTTTAGTGTTTTTTAGAGATTTTTTTTATTTATAAAAACTCTTTTCATATCAATTAATAAATATTTTTTTATATAAATAAATAAGTTTTGAAATACTGAAACTAATAGTACAGATAAAAACTCTTTTTTTATCAATTAATAAATATTTTTTATATAAATAAATATATACTGAAACTTTTTGGCAGAACTTCTGTAATTTTGGGTCTATGCCCCTCTGAATTTCTCTCTGAAATTCTGAATTTTTTAGAAATCTCAATTTTGTACCCTTTTTTCCTTTCTCCATACTTCTATTTATAAGTTTATTGAATTAATAGGATGATGACATGTGTCTTCTTATGATAATGACATAATCATAATTGGGCAGGGCCGGTTATATTGTGATAATTATCCATAAAAAAAATAACTATTCTTTTTATATCAATTAATAAATATTTTATTGTTAATTATTTTATTAGGTAATTTTTAGATAATAAAAGGTAATTTGTGAAAGAGTTTTAGAAAAAACTATTTTATTTTTTATATCAATTAAAAAAAAATTACATTAATAATTCTAATTTAATTAGATTTTTTTTTATTAAAAAACTTATAATAAATAAATAAATAGGTAATTTTTGTTACAGTTTAATAGAAACTATTTTAAAAACTCTTTTTAAATCAATTAATTAATATTTTTTATATTAATATTTCTTGTCTAATTAGATTTTCTTTTATTAAAAACTCATAAAAAATCGATAAATAAGTAATTTGTGTTAGAGTTTTATAGAAACTCTTTTAAAACCACATTTTAGATCAATTAATAAATAATTTTTTATATTAATAATACTTGTCCAATTAGATTTACTTTTATTATAAAACTCCTAATAAATATATAAATAGGTAATTTGTGTTAGAATTTTATAGAAACTCTTTAAATATTATATCTTTGTCTAGTATGATAGAGTTTTATTGAAAATAAAATATGTAATTTGTGATATAGTTTTATAAAAATTATTTTATTTTCTCTAAATATATATCATTATCTAATTAGATTTAATTTTATTAAGAAATTCATAATAAAAGTTAATTTGTGGTAGAATTTTAGAAAAATCATTTTATTTTATATATCAATTAAAAAATATTTTTTATATTAATAATTCTTGCCTAATTAGATTTTTATTTATTAAAAAATTCATAATAATAAATAGATAAATAGGTTAATTTAAATTTTATTAGATAGATTTTAGAGTTTCATAGAGTTTTTTTTTTTTGTTTTTTTTTTTTTTAAAACACTTTTTTCATATCGATTAATAAATATTTTTTTATATATAAATAGATACTTAAATGCTGAAACTCTTTGCACATTTAATAATAGTATAGATAAAAACTCTTTTTATAATAATTAATAATTTTTTTTATATAAATAAATAATTACTGAAACACTTTGGCAAAGCTTTAGTATTTTACAATGAAAATTAGATTTTTTTTTTTACTAAAAAATTCATAATAATAAATAGATAAATAAGTTAATTTGAATTTTATTAGGTAGATTTTTCAAGTTTTTTTTTTTTTTTTTACAAAAACACTTTTCATATCAATTAATAAATATTTTTTTTATATAAATAAATAAATACTAAATACTGAAACTCTTTGCACATTTAGTAAATAATTTTTATATAAATAAAGAAATACTGAAACTTTATTTTTTTCTTTTATTAAAAAATTCATAATAATAAATAGATAAATAGGTTAATTTGAATTTTATTAGGTAGATTTTTGAGTTTTATAGAGTTCTTTTTATTTTTTATTTATTTATTTATTTTTGATAAGAACTCTTTCAATATCAAGTAATAAATATTTTTTATATAAGTAAATAAATACTGAAATTTTTGCACATTTAATAAATTTTTTTGTATAAATAAATAAATACTGAAACTCTTTGGCGAAGCTTCCATATTCTGTATTTTATATATAAATAAATAAATACTGAAATTCTTTGGCAGAGCTCTATAATTCTGGGTCTATATCCCTCTGAATTTCTCTCTTTATATCAATTAGTAGATATTTTATAATAAACAGGCAATTTGTGTTAGAATTTAATAGAAACTCTTTTAAAAACTCATTTTATATCAATTAATAAATATTTTTATATTAATAATTATTTTCTAATTAGATTTCTTTTTATTAAAAAACTCATATAGATAAATAGGTAGCTTATGTTAGAGTTTTATAAAAACTCTTTGAAAACCTCTTTTTATATTAATTATTAAATAATTTTCTATATTTATAATATTTGTCTAATTATATTTTCTTTTATTAAAAACTCATAATAAAAGCTAATTTGTGGTAGAATTTTAAAAAAAATTAGTAATTTGTGATAGAGATTTATAGAAATTATTTAATTTTCTTTAAATATATCCTTGTCTAATCTGATTTCATTGTACTAAGAAACTCGTAATAAAAGTAAATTTGTGGTAGAGTTTTAGAAAAATTAATTAATTTTATATATCAATTAATAAATATTTTTGTATATAAATAATTCTTATCTAATTAGATTTTATTTTATTAAAAAATTTATAATAATAAATAGATAAATAGGTTAATTTGAATTTTATTAGGTAGATTTTAGAGTTAGCTAATTTGTGATAGATTTTTTAGAAAATTTTAATTTTCTTTAAATATATTATTGTTTAATTATATATTTTTTTAATTAAAAAAACTCATAATAAATAGATAAATAGGTAATACGTGTTAAAGTTTTACAGAAAATATTTTTAAAACTCATTTTATATGAATTAATAAATATTTTTATATTTTAATAATTCTTGTCTAATTAGATTAGCTTTTATTAAAAAAAAACTCATATCAAAAGGTGATTTGTGGTAGAGTTTTAGAAAAATTATTTTATTTTTTATATCAATTAAAAAATATTTTTTATATTAATAATTCTTGTCTAATTAGATTTTCCTTTATCAAAAAACTTATAATAAATAAATAAATAGGTAATTTGTGTTAGAGTTTAATATAAACTCTTTTAAAAATCTTTTTATATCAATTAATAAATATTTTTTATTTTAATAATTATTGTCTAATTAGATTTACTTTGATTTAAAAACTCATAATAAATAGATAAATAGGTAATTTGTGTTGGAGTTTTATTGAAACTCTTTTAAAATCTCTTTTTATATCAATTAATAAATAATTTTTATATTAATAATACTTGTCTAAGTTTTATATAAACTCTTTAAATATATCTTTGTCTAGTGTGATAGATAAAATCGGTAATTTGTGATACAGTTTTATAGAAATTATTTTATTTTTTTTATAAATATATCCTTATTTAATTAGATTTAATTTTATTAAGAAACTCATAATAAAAGCTAATTTGTGGTAGAGTTTTAGAAAAATTATTTTATTTTATATATCAAATAATAAATATTTTTATATTAATAATTTTTGTCTAATTAGATTTTCTTTTTTGAAAAAAAAAATTCATAATAATAAATAGATAAATATGTTAGTTTAAATTTTATTATGTAGATTATAGTATTTTATAGAGGTTTTTATTTATTTATTTATTATTATTATTTTTTATTTTTAAAAACTCTTTTCATATCAATTAATAAATAATTTTTTATATAAATAAATAAATGCTGAAACTCTTTGCACATCTAATAATAATATAGATAAAAACTCTTTTTATATCAATTAATAAGTAATTTTTTTATATAAATACATAAATAAATACTGAAACTCTTTAGTATATCTTTTGTATTTTACTTTGGAATTCTGAATTTATAGAATTATCAATTTCTGTATCCCTTCTCCTTCCTCTATACCTCTATTTATATGTTTCTTGGATTAATTGGATGATGACATGTGTCATTTTCTGATAATGATATAATCATAATTGGGCGAATTGGTTATATTGTGATAATTATTCATAAAAAATAAATATTCTTTTTATATTGAGTTAAAAATAAGAGTTTATATAGAAGGTGATTGATTTTATTAGGTAATTTTTAGAGTTTTATAAAAACTATTTTTACAAAAATTATTTTTATATCAATAAATAAATTTTTTTTTATATAAATACGGAAACACTTAAACACTTTGCACATTTAATAATAATAAAATATAGATATAGATATAGATATAAATATAAATTTTGTTTCCAAGCTTAAACTTATTATATATTGGATCCTGTTTTTGCTTATTTATTTATTATTATTATTATCTCTTTCCCTTTTTCCATTTCTCTTTTTCTGAAACATATATAATTTATCATTCAACTGAATTTTTTCAACCGAAGAAATTTAATTCCACTTGCCTCGCTGAATTTTTTTTCAAGAAGGTAATTTTATTGCTAGTGGCAACAAAATTAGGTGTTGTCGATTGAATAAAAAATAAATAAAAAGAAAGAGAAAAAAATAAAAAATAAAACAAAAGAACAGTGAAGAGTATATTCCGCCACATTATAAGGTGCCAACTACTAGGTCTTATCATGAACTATTGACGGGCTCTGCGTTTGCCACCAAAGTCTGTCAGCTCCAACTGGAAGAAATGGCGTAACTAATACCTCTGTCTTTATCTCTCTCACGCACACACTCTCTCTCACACACAACCCCTGAAACCAAAACCTCCAATTCGAAGCTTTTAATGGCTTATCATCAGTTAATCACTCTCTCTCTCCTTTCTTATATGCTCTTCTTCGTCTCCCTCTTTCCTCATTCTTCAACATCAGCAACATTTTCTTCGGCATCGTCTCCCGATTCTTCCGATAAAGTCTCTCTGGGATTGTACTACGAAAGCCTGTGTCCTTACAGTGCCAATTTCATCATCAACTATTTAGATAATATCTTCACTAATGGTCTCATCGACATCGTCGATCTCACCCTCTTCCCTTGGGGCAACGCCAAGATCAAAGGCAACAACACCGTCGTTTGCCAGGTTCGCCTATTTCTCCTTCACTTTGTCTGCCTTCATATATACATAAATGTGTGTTTGTATTTATATAATTTGCAACAATGTGGTGACTAAAATTGCTTGTTTTTGTAATGAGATGAATGCAGCATGGGCCATTTGAATGCTTGCTGAACACTGTGGAGGCATGTGCAATCAGTGTTTGGCCTGATCTGGTAAGAGTAAGACCTAGGCATGAAAATTATTATGTGTCATAAACTTGTTATTTGTAGAGGGGATTAGTAGTATTTTAGAAATTTACACTATGCCACTAATCACATTAATTTCAGATTTTTACAGGAAACTGTTTCTTTTGTGTGTGAAGATTTTGCTTTTTATAGAGGATTGTGTTATAATTTTGGTTGAAGTTTATAAAACCTCTAGCATGTGCTGAGTTCTTTGCACACTGTTCTTAGTTTTGCATAAAGTTTATTGATTCTGTAAATTGTTTGAGAAAATGCATTTTGTCCCAATTGATGATATGAAACTCTGATGCAGAACGAGCACTTTCCTTTTATCTATTGCATTGAGACTTTGGTCTACAACCGGACATACCCCGAGTGGGAATCATGTTTTGAGAAATTGAGTTTGGATCCAACACCAATTTCCGATTGCGTTAGTACCGGATATGGGGCGGAGGTTGGTATTTTCTGTCCAAAATTCAGCTTTCATATTGTTTATTCAAGTTTTTATTTCAGTACATGTGAAATCACATTGTTGGAAATGTATGGCTTACTTTTGATTTCCTTTTATAGAGAGTCAAGTTTTCTTAAACTGCAATTGTTTCCAGTTTCTGCAATATCATTGATGAAATATATCAATGTCATAAGATTTCTTCAGCAAATAAGTTCATATTGTTTGTCTCATGTTCACTGGAATAATTTCTTGTATTCATAAATAACCTCCAAGTACGAATGACAACAGGGCGGGTTTGGCCAGGGTACCTTCCCCATCCCCAGTCTCGATTAAGAGAGGACCCCCCGTCCCTCCCCCACTCCCGTTCAAGAATTGACTTCTCATCCCCATTGCCGACCTAACCCAGCTCCATCTGTCACTCTATTAAAGCCATAATATACATACGAACAAAGGTGATGATGTTGATGTTTGATATAAGGGACTGATAAGGGTGTAATATAAATATAAATACATATAAAGAAATACATGCATATATTAGGGCTTCAAGCTGACATAAGATATAGAAAATATGATTTTTACAACTCATATCAATGGCATTTGTTTAGCTGCATTAGAGTTTGCTACTTAACCGGCCATTGGACGAGAGTGATGGCCATCGGAATCCACCAAACCAGAATACGGCTGAAGACAGTGACAGACGCCACCGTCAAAGAGAGAGATAGATGATGGCAGGATGGAGTAAGAGAAAATGGCAGGAGATGGAAAGAGAGAGACAGCAGAGAGTGAGAGAGACACAGTTGGGAATGCGATGAAAATTAGTTTTTTTGTATAGTAACATTAAGGGTATCTTAAGATATCAAACAAGAATATAAGGGCACTAAGGTAATTTTATACCATAAACAAAACAAGGTGGGGCGGGGTACTCTTTCCCCGACCCTGTGCAGGCTTTTATTCTCTCCCCCCATCCCTGATTTAACACCCCTCACCCCCTAACGCATCCCAATAGGGACGAGGCGGTGCAATTTGCCATCCCTATTCCCTACTCCTAACTCCTAAGACTACTATACGACAACAGGACAACAGGACATAATTCTTGTTTGATCTCTTAAGGGAATATTCTTCCAGGGAAGTTTTGGGAATGCTTTGCCAAGAAATGTTTCTAGCATTTTGAGTCCCTTCTTATTACCTGTTGATAGAAATGCCTTTTCTTTAACCTGGAAATAGTAAATTGAAAAGAATTTTATACAATTTTTTCATCCTGAACGATTTGGTAGTGGATTTTTCTGAATTCAAAGACTCATTTATGGTTGTTTTCAAGTCAAAGGAAGCAAATGCACTAGGTCATTCTGTAATCTGATTTTAAACTTTTTAAAAAAATACTGTTCATATAGAATTAGTTGTTTTTGGTTCTTTTGACTTTCCTTTTATATGCAATGGTATCCACGGCTGAAACTAAGTGCAACCAATTGATTGTTAAAACGTAGATGGAAAAGTTAGGAGTGCTATGATTCATGTCAACTAAAATCCTCAGTCTTTTGAATATCTCTCGCCTTTGTAATGTGAAGCAAGAAAAGTTGGCTTGAGGATATATTAAAGGTTGAGTGAAGATGAAGGGAAGTGTTATTAGAAAAGTATTAAATACTAAAAAAAAATGGGTGAAAATGTGAAGCTAACAAGTAATGCATTCTTAGAACGTTTCATATGAAGTGGTCTTTGTTGTATTTCATACAACTCTGGATGAATAGTGGTGAAATGGAAAAACAAATTGACAAGTATGACTTGAGTTGCCACTGAAACCACTGATTTACGATAACTCCAGAGGTGGAGTTACTTATGCATAGTGGGCTTGTATTGAAAGTACCTTTGATTTATACAACTAGAACAGTATGATTTTTCCCACTATAATATTGAGTTCGGAGTTATAAACATCATAAGACAAAAGACTCAGTCTCAATACAGCATACTGGCTGTAACATATTCATTCCTTGTGCCACCTAATTGATTTTGTTTATTTATTTTTTTCTGTTTTCTCATTGGCACTGAACGTTTCTTCTCTAAAAGTTTACTGGTTGCTTAAATTGATAATTTTTATGCAGCTTGAACTACAATATGCAGCAGACACAAATGCCCTTGAACCTCCTCATGAATATGTGCCTTGGGTAGTTGTTGATGGACAGCCACTCTATGAGGTTAGTTTCTTTGGATTCATTGTTTTTGTTGGTCCTTTGAATAAATCAGGTTATGCTTCTCTGTGCAACAATATGATTTTTGCATAACTATTTAGTGAATGACTTGAACAAAGAATTGCTTAGGTTCATGTCATTATAAAGATTATTGGGAGTGTAAGTCATAGGTAAGAGGGGATATTCAAAAAATGATGTCATTTCTCTTGTTGCAGGACTATGAAAACTTTATAAGCTATATCTGTAAAGCTTATAAAGGGACTACCGTGCCCAGTGCCTGCAGTGACTTGTCCCTTGACGCCATTCCAGAGGAGAAAGCAAACTCTAAGCCTTCAGTCTGCTACACTGAAGAAACAACAAAGCTGACATTATCAACAATAAGATCAGTGATATCATCCTGGATTAGCCAGGTTTACATGGCAGCTTCGGTATAAATGTCCTGCAGTTTCATATACGTGATCTAATACAGTTTCTGCTGCTGCTATCACCAATTGTTGGGTAGTATAGTGAAGAGCCGGTCACCAGAACAGATGGTATTATTTGTTATAACTGTGATGTTCTTTGCTGTTAACTAATAATAATACTGGTGATCGATTGAGATCTCTCTGTGTCTCTCTTTTTTGGGGGGCTTAATGTATATACTGTTCGATTATCCTTGCAAATTTTTACACATCTTTGAAAAGATGCACTGCGTAACAAGTTTGATGATAGTTCTTCCATTTGTATTTCCTCTTTGAAAACATGCATGGCGTAAACGATTGTGTTCTAGGGACCAATCTTACGCAGAAAATGTCCAGTGAAAAAGAAAAGGGACTCAGTAGATCATGTAGATGAACTACATGTACAGTTGAACACTTTTTAACTGCTTCAGCTTCTTTGTTATAATAATCTTTGATGAGATGCATCCCCAAATGCTTTCTATAGCTTTCTAAAGTCGAATGGTTAGAATTATAGAGTTCAAAAAAGATTGTAAACACGGCGTTTGTATCGAATAAAGTATATACTTCGACTTTCTTGTGCTAGAACTGCAGTTACATCGCTTTTCCATTTCTATTCAAGCGTTTTTATGTGTTTTCACACCCCTTTGAGACACCGAAATATGGACAAATTCCTTTTCTTAGGAACACATACCATGAACCTAACATCAGGTGGAATTTGTATACCTTTCCCCCATCCTCTAGTTCAAGATGGAGTCACCATCTTAATTCTCTCACACTGCAATTTAAGATTATTTGAAAAATGTTTTAGGAAATTGTTAACCAATAATAAAAGCTAAACTAACATTCAAGCTCCCAAAATCATGCGTGATGAATATATACTTATGCCTAATTATTTAATGATTTGAATCTCCAAAGGAGAAGTGGGTGTGTGAATAGTGTTTATTTATATATATATATATATATATATATACTCCCTCCCTTATTAGTAGTCCATTTTTCTCTTTTTACATGTCCCAAATTAGTTGTCCTCTTTTAAAAGTCAAAGCATCTTTTCTTTATATTTCCATCATTGTCCTTTATCTTTTTAAAAAATTTCAAACTCTGTAACTATATATATTTAAATTAAAAAAGACAATTTAGTAATTTTAAAAGGGGACAATGCATTAATTGCATGTCCCCTTAAAAAGTTATAAAATCAAGAATGGACCATTAAAAAGGGACGGAGGTAATAGTATGAATTTGCATTTTGGTCCCTTTATTACCTCTGTTCTATATTCAATTGTCGACAGGTCAGTCGAAAGGGATTCTCAAGTAATTATGATCGATAATTAAATATATTATGGATAACACTAACACATATTGTCGATATGTCCGAGTGGTTAAGGAGACAGACTCGAAATCTGTTGGGCTTTGCCTGCGCAGGTTCGAATCCTGCTGTCGACGATTTGTATTATTTAAAAAAAAAAAAATTGTATTCTCTCTTCTGTTCGTGCATTGTTGGCTTGTCCTTTTTATTTAATTTATTTTAATGTTTTTATGATAGACTTAAAGATAATATTTTATGAAAAATGATTTTGTCTTCTCTCCTCTGTTCGTGTATTGTTGACTCGTTATTTTAATTTAATTATATATATATATATATATATATATAGACTTGAAGGTAATATATTATGAAAAATGAGATGGTGATAAAATGGCCATCGGTGATCTGAGAGGCATTGTAATGCGCGAACTTGAATTCTTAACCCTAAGAACAAACCTAAATTCGAAATGAAGTTTGATGTCACTTATATGCATGACATAGAGCTCTATATGCATAGAGCTCGTGTACTCTTACCATGTACCAAGTCTAAGCTATTTGGACTGCCCGATGATTCGGGCCAATGAATTAAAACACGTAAGCACATCCCACTTAATTAGAACGCTTCATGGGCCTAAGATTTTAAATGGATGTCTCACTGGACTGGGCTGGGCTGGGCTGGGCTTTTGAGTTCTAACACCAAAATTATGTCCACCAATTGGAATTGGAAATAGAACCCAAAAAAAAAAAAATTTAATTTAATTTTCAAAGTTACTTTCCACGCTCCAATTTCACCTGTCAAACATTGCCTTGGTGCATTTGAAGTTCTTTAAAACATAACACTTCTACAACATATAAAAACACAATCGGTTGTTAGAAACATTCTGTGTTATCATTTCATGTAAAAAAATTATTTTTGTTAAATAAAAAAATATTTAAAACACAACACTTCTACAACTTTATATTCTAAGTCACCGAAGATACTTCGACATTCACATGAAATTTACAATTTATGAAGTGGGAATACATATTAAATGTGTCTGGCGCACTGGTTCATTCAAACCATAATATATCTCACCCAATACGTCATCAGTAGGTGAATTTCGACCACTCTCTCACTATCAAGCTCACACTTCTAAGCAGAACAAAATTAAGTTGAGAGAGGGAGAGAGTAAATGAGTAGGATGTGGTATCAAAGTCGAAAATGAGAAGTCGCTGCGTCTTCCACTGAATCAACCGCACCATATCCTTTTGTCGGCGACCTTTACTACAGTTCGTCAAATCAGTGGGACCCTTTTTAATACTCTCTTTCTTCCAACTTATTGCTCTTTCCATGCCCTAATGCCATTTATTTCCTACAATTAGTTTTTTTTTTTTTTTTTTTTTCTAAGTTTTATAAACTTTTTTTGACTAAAAAGAAGATAATGCTTTAAATTCTTACCTCTTCGAAAGTTAAAATTTTCAAGAGAGACAATTAATAGGGAAGGAGCATTGTTCCACGCAATTATGATATTTTGCCTACTAAAAAATTTCAGAATAAAATAGCAAACACAGACCTAGTTAAGGACCAATGGGGCACCCTATGATTTTTTCTTATTTGCATTATAATTTATACTTTTTGTTAATTGAGAGGTAGAAGTTTCAAAATTTGTAAAAATTTAAAAATACCCCCTCGATTTTTAAAAATGTCACACTTCACATTCTTGCCCCCACTGATTTTTTGGATCCAAAAAATAATCATCTCTTTTTCATTCTTTACTCACTATTTACCGCCCGCCATATTCATGATTCTCTCACATACACTTAGATATTCCCATTCAATTTTTTATTCTTGTTTCTTCACCTCCCATATCCATGATAATCTGAAAACCAAGGACATAGTAAAAAGATTAAAGAATTTGAGTTAGACAAGTCACAAAAAATTATCAATCAATTTTTTTTTTTTTTATTCTTCAACAATACCCCAACTCAAAAAAATTCATGAATCCGTTACTGCATTAAGTATAACAAAAATAAACTTAGAGTTTTTTTTTTTTAATTTAAATTATGCGTATAATGCCCGACAACAAATTTCTTCATTGTATTTGATTGTGCATCAAAAGTTCAAAACCATGTGAGTTTTGAAAATGAGACACGACGAAACTTCGAGAATGCAATACTAATACTTAAAAATAAAGTGAAAGGGTTCAACCAACGTGTTTTTTTATGTTGAACAAAAAGGAAGATAAAGCGTGTGTAATTTGGTGAGATGATAATTAATCCATTCAACATTTAAACCATAAGGCCTCGTGTCACATAAATTATGATCACATGATGTTTACAAAATCTGGTACCAAATTTCCCGGGAAAAAAAAATTAAAAATGAAAATTCTGGTACCAACCGACAGCCAATAGCATGTGCAGTGACAATTTCGTACACGGGTAGCAATTTATTTTTTCACTAATTAAGACAGAGACTAATTAATCAGATTAAAAAATATAATATTAAAACATATAGGTGTAGCTTTTTGTTTAACTTTCTATAGATCATCTCTCATTTTTCTTTGCCAATAAATATAAAGCGGGTAAATATTATATGTCTGTTTCTTCCAGAACACACACGTCATCAATGATTAATGTTAACCAGCTACGCTTATTTTAGTGAGAGCAATGATTAAGCTACCAATGGATGGTTAGAGACACCGTACTACCCATGATAACACAGTTACCTATAATTTACACTTTTTTATTTCCTCCAAATGGTCAATTTTTAATTTTTTAAACAAAAATTTGGTGAGCCTTTGTTACTGAGCCAGAAATTTATTTAATATTATATTTTTCTTTTCTTTTTTTTATTTTTTAGCGAAGCTAACTATTTATGTTAAAAATGATAAAATTACTTAATTTTGATGCACAACATGAAACTAAATACTAGGATTTTGATCCGTGATTACGACAGGTGGGTGAAAGAATTGTCAAATTATATATTGACACGCGCACTGGAGGATTATAAAAACTAATATGATACAAGTATAGTGGCTAATTATTGACAAGAAAGAGAGAGATCACTTACAATAAAAAGTAAAAATATATATCATTAGTCACCACAAAAGATATTGTTAAAAATTCAAGATAGTGCTAAAATTAATAAGATATATGTATTATTCCATAAACTAACAAAAGTTTTATAGAAAAATAAATAATAAAAAAGAGAGGAAAAAAAAGAAGAGAGAAGTAAAAAAAGAGATTGTTTATACTTGATACAGAAGTGAACGCATTTAGTATCCTACAGCTACAGGTGCATGCAAATACATTGTGTGTGTATAATACATATATATATATATATGTATATATATATAATAGTGCAGCCTCACGTGTATATTTAATTTATACAGTATGTGTCTGCAGGGATGGGCATGTATGAGACGTTTAATACTTTAATTGGAAACAAATTGACAACACAAATAAATTTTAAAGTATATATTCCTTTTCAAACCATACATCAATAATACTGCCGTAGGTGCAGACAAGACTAATGGATACAGGTGCTTTTATGAAACACTTTCTCTCTCTCCACTCCAAATTAATGTACCCTCTCTCTCTCTTATAAATGTACGTATGTATATATATATATATATATATATATATATATATTATAGGTGCTTTTATGACACACTTTCTCTCTCTACACTCCAAATTAATGTATCTCCCCCCCCCCCTCTCTCTCTCTCTCTCTCTCTCTCTCTCTCTCTCTTAAATGTATGTATATAAATATATATTACTTCCTGTTTAACAAAAAAATGTCTTATTTAAAAATTCGTGACTTAAAAAATATGACATTTTTTATTTTTTTTATTTTTATTTTTTTAAGATAGAGGTAGTACTAGCTTAACTTCAAAATGGAGGACTAGTATTATCTATGAAGACAAAATGGAGGACCAGTATTATATATGAAGACAGAAAGCAAGTGATTCAGCATTTCTCTGTCCTGCAAATATCGATCATACAGTACCATATATATATATATATATATCATGGCATTGCTCTTTTTTACTTTTTACATTGTTCTAGAAAATTTTTAGTGCCCCAATTATACTCCAACATATATGCATACAAATTAAAGTTTATCGATGGTTTATGTCCTGCACTGTTGCACACCAAAATGATTGATGGCCGAATAAAATAATAATAATAATTAAAATAAACAAATAAATAACTATATATATATATATATATATATATATATTGAACTTTGGATAATGGTAGAATTATTTTGAAGGACTTTATATATGACATCAACATTGTGAAAGCAAATTATTTAGAATGACAATTACAACAACATTAATTAAAGGTCGGATGAGGGTTTGTAGAGTCATCAGCCACGCCAGCCATTTTATTTATTTATTTATTTGTCTATATGGCATCATCTTGGCATTACTTTACCAATTTTATACTTAGATTATGTTCTCAGAAAAAAAAAAGAAAAAGAAAAAGAAAATCTAGATTATGGACATAGGTCATCAGAGATGGATCATCACTAGGGTTGTGAATGGACACACAAAAAAAAATTTGTAAGGGTGTTGAACAACAAGAATATATATTAATTAGTCGAAGTATTATTAAAAATTGAATGAGATTTAATAAAAAAAGCATAGGTAATTTTACAAAAAAATAAAATAAAATAAAAATAACATTCATTGATCCCTTAATAGGTCGTCTCTAACTAGCTATGAAGCACAGACACTCCTCCCAAGGGTCCCATACTAGTATCGGACACTTTGTGAATGGACCCAAAAAAATTTTGTAAGGGTATTGAACAACAAGAATATATATTAGTCGGAGTATTATTAAAAATTGAATCAGATTTAACAAAAAGCATAGGTAATTTTACAAAAAACATAAAAATAACATTCACTAAGCTCTTAATAGGCCGTCTCTAATTAGTTATGAAACATAGACACCCCTCCCAGGGGTCCATACTAGTGTCGGACACTTTTGTGAAGTGTCCAAAAATTATTTTTTGTTAGACACGGGGTGAACACGGATGGGACACGCGGGGACACATACTGGACACGACGGGGTATATTTTGTAATTTTTTTTTTAAAAGAAAAACGGGATACCTAATGTAATTTTAAATGTTTCGAAAGTAAAATTTTGAAAAATTTAAAAAACAACTACATAAGCAATGAACTGATGAATGAAGAATGTTAAATATATTGGAAATGTACTTGATCTTATTTGTCTAATTTTATTAATAACTTTGCTTGGTTCTTAATTGGTTAGATAATGGATTGAAGTATTTCTTTTATTGCAGTATTTTTCTAGGGGAGGTTAGATTTATGGTATTATAAAATTTGAATATATATATATATTATTTCATAGTTGTATTCGTTTCTTATTTTTTTGAAATTTGCAGTGTCACTGTATCAGTGTCAGACCTGTGTTCTGCATCCGTGCTTCATAGCTGACTAGAGGGGAGAGTTTTGGAAAATCAGTTGAGATACTTAGAAAATGAAATTGATTTAACCCATTTTTTTATAAAAAAATAAAATAAAAACAATGAAAATGAAATTATAGCAAAGGCCCTTAAATTATGCCAAAAGCAAGGAAGTACCCAAAAAAAAAAAAAAAAAAAAAATAAAAAATCCCTTGATATGGGGTTGAAAATACTTTATAAATAAAAGAAAAGTGAGATGGAAGAACCAATTAAAGAAGAGAAGCAGAGCAATAATAGTTGATGATAATGAGTAGCAATGATTCAATGAATGCTGTATGATTTTATTGGTAGTACTGGGTAATTGGCCAGGTTTAAATTTTCATACTTTAAAAAGCTATTTTACAGGCTTTATTCAGGACAGGAGTAGTACTCATTGGTGTGTGACGTATGATATTAATATTATATATACTACCAGCATCCTGTATAACAAAGATTTACAATAATTAATGTTTTAATATAGTAATATGAAATAATTATGACCAATAACTAATTTATACAAAAAAAAAAAGAAAAAAGAATAGAGTGCAAGCCAGGGTTGGCTACTGGTCGTTTTCAAGATAAGGTGGTGGTTGCTCAAAAATAAAAGATAGATAGAGCAGCAATCAGCTGGATTATTTTTCATTTTCATTGATGCATGCTAACCCTCCATTCTCTCTTCTTTTCTGTATTTGTTGTTTTCACAGTTCTTTTCAATCATGTCCCCCTCACCCACATTATATATGTAGAGAGAGAAAGAGTTTAGAGAGAGAGAGAGGGTTGCAAAATAAATGGGTTCCATCCAAATCTCAAACGGACCTAAGACACAAAGACTACTCAAACTATCTAAGGACCCAGAAACCAAAACCTAAAAAAACTGATGAGAACAAAATCTAAGAACGAGGATACAAAAAGAGACACCTGAAACTGAAAAGAATGAAGATGTTGTGTTGGTAATATTACGAGATAGATAGACCAGACCCACACGTGTGCATCACCAAAACTCAGACAATGCATGCCCCATCTCTCTCAAACACAAAAAACCTAGCTCTTCAGGGGACCGACCATTTCAACAGTCGACCATCAAAAAACATAGTACTCAGAAGAAGCGCGGTCTCTGCATTTCAAACTCACAGTTCATAATATATGCTCTAATTAAATACCATACAAAAATCATAATGTAAAATTTCAAATTTATGTACATGCATATAAGGTCACACGAAGAAAAAAAAAAAACCATTTTTGATCCAAAAATATACACACACACACATATATATAAGGACATAAAAATAGTGCAATTGATGACTTAATTAATACAGTATATATATATTCCATATGATGGAGAATATATAAAAGGGGTTGTGATCGTCTTTTTCATTTCATTTTCCGCGGATGATGAACTTTATATATGATTGCATATGTGTGTATAAGCCCAATCACAAACACGTATATACATATAGACTTATATATTGATACTCTAGTGTCTAGTGGCATAGTATTATTTAGTCTTCTTAATACATTGATGGCAAGACAGAATATTGAAAGATAGTGGGTTGAATATTGCTGTGGGCCGTGTCTGGGTTTCATTTTCCTGGTTTGATTTGTGGAGGACAAGAATAATCTACCAAGAGAATAAAAAAATGAAAAAAAAAAATTGTTGAAATAAGATAGGAGAATTTCAATCTAATATAGAGAAGACCAAAATGTATCCATAAGAGAGGAGAAAATTGGAGACTATTCAACAATATGTGTCTATATATATATATATATATATGTATATCCATACATAACTATGTTTATAATTAGAGAGAGAAAGAGAGGGTGCTGGATAGATCTCTAACTAAATTTCGTTCATGGCTCGATTCAATTCTAAGAGAATCGCCAATTACATAGAGCTCATAATCACAATTAAAACAGAGAGAAAACTCCAAAATTAAAAATTAAAAATTAAAATAAAAGAGGGTAAAAATCAGTGAAACTATACTGTTGTAGTCGGAGGAGCAACAGTAGCTGCATCACCAGCATCCGTCTCACCGCCGCCGCCACCATAAGCTGAGGCAGCAGCAGTAGAGGCGGTGGCCACCGTGGACACATTTGACGCCGTTGCCGTAGCCGCCGTTGTCGTCGGTCTCTTCCGCTTCTTCTTCTCATAAGGAATCCCTCTAGCCTTGGCCTGACTTTCCCTCACCTCCCTCAGATAAATCCTGACGGCCCGAGCCCCAAACGGGTTGGACTCGGGTCGGCCGCCGTTTTCTTCATAGGCGGCTCTGAGCCGACCGATGAGCGCGTCGAGGCTGCCCCAGGCCTGCTTGAGCGGGCACGCGCACGGCGACGGAGGGTTGGGGTGCCCGAAGTAAGGGCACTCCGTCACGTGCACCTTCGTCTTCCCGAACTGGTCTAAGTACTTCAAGAACTCGATCACGTGCGCGCCGCTGCACCGTGCCAGCGTCAACGGCGGTTTGTGGTTCTTCAAGTACTGCAAGAACGTGTTCCAGTCCCTCCGCTTCTGCGACTCGTACCGACTCGGAGTCGCCGCCAGCGCCACCGTACCCGCCGATCCTCCCCCTCCCCCGGCAGAAGACGGACCTTCCCCTCCGTTTGGGTCGGGTGCTCCGGATCCTCCTGCTGAATCCATACAATATTTGCCCTCTCCCTTTTAAATTTCTTCAGTTTTCTGTGCTTTTCTTTCTCTGTCCCTCTGAAATGGGTTTTGGATAGTTGAGAAGAAAGAAGATTGTGTGTGTTTCTTTCAAAATTGGAGTCTGCTCTTATATATTTCAGTTTTCTGGAGAGTGTTTCCGGAAAAAAAAAAAAGAAAAAAAGAGAGAGAGCAGAGAGGGAGAAGAATTTTAGAGTGGAAATCGATGATGGGACGTAAAAAGGATTGAGTATATGGATGAATTGAATGAATAAGTGACTCATGTAGAGAGAGAAAGTGTGTGTGTGTGTGAATGCGAGAGAAAAACTCAACTCTCTTTACTCTTGTGTAAGAGAGAGAATCCTAGAGAGAGAGAGTGGTAAGAGTGTTCACGTGGTGGCCCCCTGAGACATGACAAGTTTACTATTTACCACTGGCGGCCCCTCCACTCTACTCTTAGCTCTGAAGTTAGTTACCTTTCATCTTCTTCAGAGAGAGAGAGTATTGACTGATATTTGACGCGCTTTTAGTCGGACGCAATGCACAAATAGTTGACCGTTACGTCGGATATGGGTGATTTGGACGCGTATTTGCTACGCTCAGTATGAAACAATGCTTTATATAACACGGTTCCAGGTAGGGTAGCAAAATTTAACGCTATCTGTAGACAGCACTCGAACTCAGAATCGGATGTTTTCGACTACTTTGAATCTCGTTTGGGTACATTAGCAATTTAATGAGTGTCATAATCTTCTCATCTTTTTTTTTTTCAATATTCTCATCTTGACGAAGGGTTTTAATTAATAAGGTTGTAATTGAATTTGATAACTTAAATGATCATCTACCGGCTGCAGCCTTCTAAATTAGAAGGTCAATGTTTTAAGTTTATGTAAAAACAATATAAAAAATAAAAAATAATAATAATAATAAAAATTTAATTTAATTAATAATTATAGGACAAATTTCTCAAAACCTCTATTACTTTAGAAAAATGATCATAAAATCCCAACCAGTTTTAAAAACCCCCAACAATTTAACAACGTTACATTTTATCCAACTCTGTCAATGAACCGTTAAAGGTATGTGAAATGACTAAATTACCCTTATGATATTCCACTTTATTTAAAAAATCAAAAAATCATATTTTACAAATTACAATATTATCATTTTGGTTTAATCCGACAGTGTAATTAACAATTACAATTAATAATTAATTAACAATTAATTACAATCCAGCAATATATACAAACATATATATATATATCTATCTATACACACACACACACACACACACACATATATACCTCTATATATATACACGGCGGCTGCAAATTAGGGTACCACCGGCGGTATCGATGGCTTGTGAGTTGTGGATTGGAGGTGGCGGTGGCTGGATCTCGATGCCAAAATTACGAACCCAGGATCAATGGGTCCATTAAAAGGAATCGGGATCCACTATCTTCGTCTTCTACAACGGGTCTGTGAATGGAAATAGGTGATATTCGGCGATGGACAATGTCGGTGAGCAATGGGATCAACACTCTTTGCCTTCTTCAGCCCCTTTTTGTGAGGAATTGGAATGGGGAAGAAGCATGAAAATCAAGCGGTGTCTCCAGCGGGCAATTGGGTTTTCTAGTCTTGGGTTTAAGAATGTGTTAAAATCCGGCGGTGTTTTTTGGTAAGGCGCAGACGACGGCGAGGGCTTGTAGGAGGAGCCGAATAGGGATTCGAGAGTGGGAAAGAAAGGCCACTGGTTGGTGTAGTTGCCGTTCGATCTTGTACTTCTTCTTGAGAGAGAGAACGTGTGACATGTTTGGGGGTAGGTAACCAAATCTGAGATTAAGATGGTGAGAAAAGGGGAGGGAAAAGATATTAAAGGTTGGTAAGGGGAGAGGAGAGTCAGAAAGAGAGGGAGAGAGAGAGATGATGATACCACATTGTAGCAAATCGATAAAAAATCTATCAAAAGTGCTGATTCCAAGTTGCAGCAAATCGATCTCAATAGTGGGAATTTGATCGCGGCTTGGATTGATTACAAAAATGATCAAAGGGCATTGGATGTGGTTTGAGTTATTCAAGTTTCAAAATGAAAGCTCTGCGAATGTGTGTCGTATTCAAATTACAATCAAGAACAAAGTTATTTATTTGGTTTCTGTATGTTGTAGTATTTTAATTATAAATTGCCACCCAAAATCAAGAACTTCACTTTAGAAAACTAATAGATCGTAAATGCTGTAATTTTTTAATTATAAATTGCCACCCAAAATCAAGAAAATGAGATGAACTAGGGTTTCCTAAAACTATTTCACACATGGAGGAGAGAAGGGATGCTTGGGGGTATTTTCAGAATAACACATATAAATCAATATCACTTGTTTGGCATATATAATAGCAAGGATATTTTCATCACAAAAGTCAATTTGGCAAAGCAATTGTTAACCACGCGCTGGTTAACGGCCCCCATTGACATAGTTGGGGTAAAATGATAACGTTGTTATATTGTTGGAGGTTTTTAAAACTGGTTGGGGTTTTATGATCATTTTTTGCAAATAATGGGGGTTTTGAGAAATTTGCCCATAATTATATAACATTGCAGTTACAGAATATATTTGTGTTGATCTTATCATTTTTATTGTCGTTGTAACGATATTAATTAAACTATTAACACATCAAATATGGAATGTAATCATATAATTTGAATATTTTTTTTATTATTTGTCTTCTTTGTAAGATAATTATCAAACGAAAAATGTACCTAATATCAAACGAGAAATGTACCTATGATATAATTCAACAAGTATGATACCATAAATTTAAATAATACCATCCAAATATGCTCGTGATGAAAATGGTTGTAAAAATTTTTTAGGCAAAAAAGCATAAAACTCCCCTTAACTAAAAAAAATTGGCATTTTACCTCATGAACTACAAAATCGAGCAATTCAGTACCACAAGTATCAAAATCGTGCATATTGCCCCCTGCTAGTCACTTCTGGCACCTTTTCGGCCAACAATTGCAGTACGTGACTTGTCCTTTTTTTATAATACCAAGATTGTCCTTCAATATGAGTGTTATAGCTCTTCATCTGTAAGAAGCCTTTTCCATTCATTTTAGCAAGCCCATTTCTTCTTCCACCTATATTGTGCAACATGATCTTTCTCTCTCTCCAAAAGTACCAAGTCTCCAACAAAATTTCACAACAAAAATTTAAGGTCAATACATTAAATAAATCGTTAAGTGTTTAATAATTATGTGTGTTAATTTATTTTAACTTATATAATTAGGAATTTAAAGGATCATAAAAATAAATAAAGAAAAAGAAAAAAGAAAAACTCTTACGATAAATAATTACAAGTATTTTGTTATAACTAAATTAGAATTTGTAACTCTCTATTTATTTTCAATAAATTTTTCAGGAAAACAATTTACTTATATATATATATATATATATATATTATGATGAATTCCTTATTTATCAAAGTAAAAAAGGTTGCTCTAAGCATAACACAGAAATGGTCTTCCAATTGCCTACATATTATACCTTTAATTAGGTAAAAATAAAAAATAAAAGATTATCGTTTCATTTCAATCTCATTAAAGGTAGTTTCATAACAGTATTTCTCAACTTAAGATACCAAATATACATAGACACACACACACACATATATATATATATATATATATATATATATAATTGCATACACAGAGAAAACAGAGATGCAAAAATAATGAAGAAATCATCCAATCAAACTCAACGTCCCTTTGATAATATGAAAGAAAGAAGGAACAAGATCATAGAAGTGAGGGATGCCTAGAACTATTACTGAAAGCAGACCCTAGCACCCAAATGGCTCTCAACTAAAACACTTTGGCAATTTTAGGAATACAAGAGTTATATTACATGAGGGGTGTTGAGGGTATTTTACTTTATTTAGTTTTTTTTGCCTTTTTTTAAATATTAATTATAATGGACATTTTTATAAATGTACAATGACGTCGGCCAAAAATGTACCGGAAGTGACTGGCAGGGACAATATGCACACTTTTGATAATTGTGGTACTAATTTGCTCGATTTTGTAGTTCAGGGAGGTAAAATGCTAATTTTTTTATTGTTAAGGGGGGTTTTATGCTTTTTTGCCAACTTTTTAAAAATTACATTGGTTACAAAAATATTTTGTATATTCATGTTTATCTTATCATTTTGTCACTTCGTAACGATATTAATCACATCATTAATGCGACAAATGTGGAATGTAATCATATAACATTACGTTTACAAAATACATTCATGTTTATCTTATCATTTTAGTTGTTTTCATAACGATAATAAACACGCCATTAATGTGAAAAACGAAAAATGTATTTATGATTTACTACAATATGGTAGCATTATATGTAAATAATACTAGTCAACGAAAAATACAATATATTCATGTTTATTTTATCATTTTGTCATCTTAGTAACGATATTAAATGCACAATTAAGGCAACAAATGTGAAATGTAATCATATAACGTTATGTTTACATAATATATTTTTGTTTATCTTGTCATTTCTTTCATATTCTTAATGATATTAAATATGTTAATGTGACGAAAAGGAAAATATACTAATGGTTTCTAAAAATCGTTAGGAACAGTTCAGTTTCAGTTCTGCTAGAAACCATATCGAAGCGAACTGTGTGCACCCTTACACATGGCATACTTGAAAGACGTGCTATAGCTGTAAGCGAGATCTTTTGCAATATATAAATTTTTAAATAGTTTTAAATTAAAAATATTTCTTAATTTAACCCTTTTTTTTTTTTTTCCTTTTAGTATATTATATTTTTAAATGCATTGAAGCGCTAAAGTATGTGTGAAAATTTTGCCAATTAATTAAGAGAAAAGTGACATCATTTCCATATTGGGATGCAAAGACGCACACACATATTTCTCATTTTTCGCATCTCTTTTGCTCTTAGTAACAAACAATACGCTCTCTCTTTCACAACAAATACTGGAACTCAAGCGCTCTAGAGTTTAAATTCTAACAGCTCAAGCACTTCGTCAGTCTCCACACCCTAGTCCTAGGTGCATCTCTCCTATCACCATGAATATTGTAAGTATGTTTAATTTCAGGATTATGTCTTTCAATTTTCATCAAGTTGGGGATTTACCTCAAGTAGGGCTTCTACTCTTAAATTAATTTGGGTCTTTTATACGGTATTAATCGCACCATGCATTAATGCGAAAAACCTGAAATGTAATTATATAATGTTATATTTACAGAATATATTCGTGTTTATCTTATCATTTTTTCATCTTCGTAATGATAATAAATACGTCATTAATGTGACAAATGAGAAATGT